GGAAATATTTGAATTTAACACAGAGATATGGAAGAAAATCTATACCATTCCCTTCAAAATTAGTAAAAACACAAAACTACAGTGGCTTCAATTTAGAATCAATCAACAGATTTTAACTACTAATTCATATCTTTATAAAATAGGTCTTGTTAATAGTCCATATTGTTTTCATTGTAAAACTGACACAGAAACTATAGTTCATGCATTATGGGAATGTAAAGAAGTACAAGTGTTTTTAACAGATTTTGAATCATCGCTAGATGTGTTATTAATTCCATTTGCTTTTAATAAAGAATCTTTTATCTTTGGTTTCTATGATAGAAAAAACAATGCTGATAATTTAATACTTCTTATCATTAAACTATATATCTATAAGGCTAGATGTCTGCAAACTGGTCTATCAGTTTTAGCTTTGAAAAACTTAATTAAAGATATTTACAATACTCAAAAATACATTGCTGTAGGTAATGGTGAAAATTATCTCACTAATATTAAAAGGGAATGGAAAAAACGGGAAAGATTACTGCAGGCTATATAACTGAAATGTAAATTAATTATAATCATATAGTACCAATGTAATTCCTGTTAAAAGTAGCGTATGTACAAAAATTTACACAATATCGAACAATAAGCCCTTGTCAAATCCTTCGACACCTCTCCAACCTTCCTTTTCTTTCTTGTCCCTCTCTCTCTTTATTACTCTTTTCTTTCCTATATCTTCTTCTAAAACAGTACAATGGTACATAACACCTAATATCCTGGTTTCAGCATGTGAAAATAGTCAAACTGTTTGTTTTTTCTGTTTTTTTGTATTTGTTTGCTTCTCAACTACAATGCATACAATATTATTCTATGTATCTTGTTTCAAACTTATAAAGAAAATAATTGTTTTTCTGCATTGGTACCCAAAGCGATGTAGTAATATAAGAATGTTAAAAAAATGTCAAGACAAACAAAAAACTTGTCTGAAAATTAAGAATGTGAGACTGAAATATGATGTGTTATGTTTAATGTACTGTTGAAAAAATTAAAAAAAAAAACACCCAATCAAGTCTTATACTAGAATCATTGTCATTGAAATATAACAGCTCCCAACCCAAACTTACGTTTATATTAACAGGAACAGAAAAGAAAAAAAAATGAATCATTCATGTGTATAGTTTTGTAAGTTAAGGGTGATTGGCCCGAGGGTTAATTGTAGCCCGAGAGTTCATGATAGCCCGAAGGTTCATGGAAGCAAAAAGGTTTACCTGGTAGTGTAAATTGTATTTACTATAACCCTGAGGATCCCTTCCCTACATCATTACCTAATGTGTAGTTGTTTTTTACTATACTGGTAAGTAAAACTGTTTGTTGAAAACTCAATATATATGAAGGCAATTTGTTTTTAATGACGTGTGGATTTGTTTGTTCCATCACTGAATAATTGAAGTTGCGTACATTCTTGGTGTGAACATTTGTTTAGTGTTTATTTTGAGATGTCAGACTTATATAGACTTATGTAGATATGGGGGTTATTGAAATTCTACACCCTCAGATAGGATTTCCATTTCCCCATACCTACATAATGATTTACGCCTTTTCTCACGCTTGATACCCAGAATGGAAAGAAACATTGGGAATGCTTTTACATTCTGAATTTTCTAAATTATCTACAAATCAACAAAAACATTATTTTGGGAAGCAGAACAAGAGGCCCAATGGGCCTGCATCGCTCACCTGGTATTAATCTCACACTTGTAATCTTAAAAGTGGACTAAAATTCAGCTACAGGCAAAATATCAGTGTTTCATTCATTAGAACCTATTAAAAGATTTAAACATATGACACCTGTGACCTTGAATGTCGAACAAGGACATTATAATATTAGGTTGAACAGAGTTTATAGTCTTCCAACCCAGCATGCTTCTGGAAAAATATCATTACCCTGGACCTTTTGGTTATACAGAACAAATCATTTAAAGATTTAAACATATATTGACCACTGTGACCTTGAATATGGGTGAAGGTCATTCACTTGGTAGTCCTTCATCCCAGCATGTTAATGGCCAAATATCATCACCCTTGGCCTTTTGCTTATTAAGAAGNAAGATGAAGGTCATTCATTTGAACAAACTTTGTAGCCCTTCATCCGAGCATGCTACTAGCCAACTATCATCACCCTAGGCCTCTTGGTTATTCAGAAGAAGTTGTTTAAAGTTTTTAAACATATTTGACCGCTGTGACCTTAAAATATATATGTCAAGGTCATTCATTTGAACAAACTTGGTAGTCCTTCATCCCAGCATGTTACTGGCATTATCCTAGGTCTCTTGGTTATTCAGAAGAAGTTGTTTAAAGGTTAAAAACATATTTGACCCCTGTGACCTTGAAAAAAGATGAAGGTCATTCATTTGAACAAACTTTGTAGCCCTTCATCCGAGCATGCTACTAGCCAACTATCATCACCCTAGGCCTCTTGGTTATTCAGAAGAAGTTGTTTAAAGTTTTTAAACATATTTGACCGCTGTGACCTTAAAATATATATGTCAAGGTCATTCATTTGAACAAACTTGGTAGTCCTTCATCCCAGCATGTTACTGGCATAATCCTAGGTCTCTTGGTTATTCAGAAGAAGTTGTTTAAAGGTTAAAAACATATTTGACCCCTGTGACCTTGAAAAAAGATGAAGGTCATTCATTTGAACAAACTTTGTAGCCCTTCATCCGAGCATGCTACTAGCCAACTATCATCACCCTAGGCCTCTTGGTTATTCAGAAGAAGTTGTTTAAAGTTTTTAAACATATTTGACCCCGGTGACCTTGAATATAAGTCAAGGTCATTTATTTGAACAAACTTGGTAGCCCTTCATCTGAGCATGCTACTAGCCAACTATTTTTAAACATATTTGACCCCGGTGACCTTGAATATAGGTCAAGGTCATTTATTTGAACAAACTTCGTAGCCCTTCATCCCAGCATGTTACTGGCCAAATATCATCGCCCTAGGTCTCTCGGTTATTCAGAAGAAGTTGTTTAAAGGTTTTAAACATATTTGACCCCTGTGACCTTGAATATATATAAGGCAAGGTCATTTATTTGAACAAACTTGGTAGCCGTTCATCTGAGCATGCTACTAGCCAACTATCATCACCCTAGGCCTCTTGGTTATTCAGAAGAAGTTGTTTAAAGTAAAAAGTTGACGCCGGCCGGACGCCGGCCGGACGCCGGACCCGGCACCATGCCATAAGCTCACTTGGCCCTTCGGGCCAGGTGAGCTAAAAATGCAAAGTAAACCAGGTATTTAAAGATTATAGCCGTCTGTGAAAACCTCACGCCAAGCTTGTTCAGTAATTATTTATTCCTGTGGAACAATGTCAAGTTACAGACTATAGTTTCAGGTAAAATATTCTGACACTTACCAAAAATGACAACATGCATCACTCTTAAGAACATCAGCTGACACCAAACGATACTAAAAGTTTGACTCAAACCATTTGTTTTGACATACTTCTTTTAAGCCAGGAACGAGAAAAAAGTGTTTCCTGAATAAGTAGTCACAGATGAATGTATAAGACAGGAAACGTACTGTATTCTACCTGAGTGTTAGAACATAAATGTTTTGCCGTACTTAACTGTTCTCTGTAATATTTGCTGTAGGTTTTACAGAGTTCCTGTGTTCCAGTGAATGGTGTGACATCTTCAACCCTGACGAGAAATCTGTGTGTGAAGAGTTAATGAACCATCCGATCAACAACTATTATATAGCAAGTTCTCACAACACGTAAGTTACATAACAAGTTCTTACATCACATAAGTAACATAGTGAGTTCTCACAACTCATAAGTAACACAGCCAGTTCTCACAATATTTAGTAAGTAACACAGCCAGTTCTCACAACATTTAGTAAGTAACACAGCCAGTTCTCACAACATTTAGTAAGTAACACAGCCAGTTCTCACAACATTTAGTAAGTAACACAGCCAGTTCTCACAACATTTAGTAAGTAACACAGCCAGTTCTCACAACATTTAGTAAGTAACACAGCCAGTTCTCACAACATTTAGTAAGTAACACAGCCAGTTCTCACAACATTTAGTAAGTAACACAGCCAATTCTCACAACACAAAAGATAATTGCAAGTTCTCACAAGTAACACAGACAGTTCTCACAACATTTAGTAAGTAACACAGCCAGTTCTTACAACAGGTAAATAACACAGCCAGTTCTCACAACATAAAAGTATTTGATCTATTTCTTCAAAACCTAGGTTAGGAAATGAGCTCTGACACTTGTTTACATGTATACCTGTAGGTATCTGACTGGCGACCAGGTGAAGGGTCCAGCCAGTGTTGACCAGTACAAACAGGTGTTGTTGGCCGGCTGTCGCTGTGTGGAATGTAAGTCACAACTACCTATATCTATATTACTGTAGGCCTCTCACAGCTACTTATATCTGTATTACTGTAAGTCTCTCACAACTACCTATATCTATATAACTGTAAGTCTCTCACAACTACCTATATCTATATTACTGTATTCCTCTTACAACTACCTATATCTATATTACTGTATTCCTCTTACAACTTCCTATATCTATATTACTGTAGGCCTCTCACAACTACCTATATCTATATTACTGTAAGCCTCTCACAACTACCTATATCTATATTACTGTATTCCTCTTACAACTACCTATATCTATATTACTGTATTCCTCTTACAACTACCTATATCTATATTACTGTAGGCCTCTCACAACTACCTATATCTATATTACTGTAAGCCTCTCACAACTACCTATATCTATATTACTGTATTCCTCTTACAACTACCTATATCTATATTACTGTATTCCTCTTACAACTACCTATATCTATATTACTGTAGGCCTCTCACAACTACCTATATCTATATTACTGTAAGCCTCTCACAACTACCTATATCTATATTACTGTATTCCTCTTACAACTACCTATATCTATATTACTGTATTCCTCTTACAACTACCTATATCTATATTACTGTATTCCTCTTACAACTTCCTATATCTATATTACTGTAGGCCTCTCACAACTACCTATATCTATATTACTGTAAGCCTCTCACAACTACCTATATCTATATTACTGTATTCCTCTTACAACTACCTATATCTATATTACTGTATTCCTCTTACAACTACCTATATCTATATTACTGTAAGTCTCTCACAACTACCTATATCTATATAACTGTAAGTCTCTCACAACTACTTATATCTATATAACGGTAAGTCTCTCACAACTACCTATATCTATATTACTGTAAGCCTCTCACAACTACCTATATCTATATTACTGTGGGCCTCTCACAACTACCTATACCTCTATTACTGTAAGTTTCTCACAACTACCTATATCTATATTACTGTATTCCTCTTACAACTACCTATATCTATATATTACTGTAAGTCTCTCACAGCTACCTATATCTATATTACTGTAAGCCTCTCACAACTACCTATATCTATATTACTGTAATGAGGAACATGAACACACAGTAAGGGCACAATAACTTTTTGTTATTTCTATATTGTTTTTATTATTCCTTTATTGTTTTTGTTATTTTTTATTGTTTTTGTTATTTTATATTGTTTTTAGCTCACCTGGTCCGAAGGTCCAAATTTTGTCAAAAGCATCCTTGGGGGAAGGGGAACAAATGTTGTATAAAAGGTGGGTCTGGCCTCCCTGGGGGCTGAGGGGCGGGGCCCAATAGGGGAAATATAGCAAATTCTTTAAAATCCTTTTTCTTCTGTAGGAATGAAAGGATTTGTTCCATATTTGGTCTGAAGCATTCTTGGGTGAAGGGGAACCAATTTGTATAAACCGTAGGTCTGGCCCCCCTGGGGGCTGAGGGGCGGGGCCAAACAGGGGAAACATAGCAAATTATTCTTTAAAATCCTTCTACTTCCGTAGGAATAAAAGGAGTTGGTCCATATTTAGTGTGGAGCATCCTTGGGTAAAGGGGAACCAATTTTGTATAAATGGTGGGTGTGGAGCTGAGGGGCGGGGCCCAATAGCAGAAATGTAGCAAATTCTTTAAAATCCTTCTTCTGTAGGAATGAAAGGATTTGTTCCATATTTGGTCTGAAGCAACCTTGGGTGAAGGGGAACCAATTTTGTATAAACCGTGGGTGTGGCCCACCAGGGTCCTGAGGGGCGGGGCCCAATAGGGGAAACATAGCAAATTATTCTTTAAAATCCTTCTTCTGTAGGAATGAAAGGATTTGGTCCATATTTGGTGTGGAGCATCCATATGTAAAGGGGATCCAATTTTGTATAAATGGTGGGTCTGGCCCCCCTGGGGGCTGAGGGGCGGGGCCCAATAGGGGAAATATAGCAAATTCTTTAAAATCCTACTTCTTCTGTAGGAATAAAAGGATTTGTTCTGAAGCATTCTTGGGTGAAGTGTAACCAATTTTGTATAAACCGCCTCTCTGGCCCCCCAGGGGCCTGAGAGGCGGGGCCCAATAGGAGAAACATAGCAAATTATTCTTTAAAATTCTTTTTCTTCTGAAGGAATGAAAGGATTTGGTCCATATTTGGTGTGGAGCATCCATGGGTAAAGGGAAACCAATTTTGTATAAACGGTGGGTCTGGCCCCCCTGGGGGCTGAGGGGCGAGGCCCAATAGGGGAAGTATAGCAAATTCTTTAAATACTTCTTCTTCTGTAGGAATAAAAGGATTTGTTCTGAAGCATCCTTGGGTGAAGGGGAACCAATTTTGTATAAACCATGGGTCTGGCCCCCCAGGGGCCTTAGAGGCGGGCCCAATAGGGGAAACATAGCAAATTATTCTTTAAAATTCTTCGTCAGTAGGAATGAAAGGATTTGGTCCATATTTGGTGTGGAGCATCCTTGGGTAAAGGAGAACCAATTTTGTATAAACGGTTGGTGTGGTCTCCCAAGGGGCAGAAGGGCTGGGCCCAATAGGAGAAATAGAGGTAAAACCTTTAAAATCCTTCTTCGACCATCAGGATTATGGGATTTTATCCTTATTTAGTCTGGAGCATCCTTGGGTCAAGTGGACTCAATTTTGTATAATTGGTGGGTATGACCCCCCTAGGGGTGGGGCTCTGTTTGAAGTTTGTTCTCACTATATCTCAAAAACTGTATGGATATTTCTGAAATTTCATATGTACTTACAGCACCTACTTCATACCAATTATTTTCAACATATTCAGGTGAGTGAAACAGGCCCTCTGGGCCTTTTGTTTATTGTCCGTCGTCCGTCCGTCGTCTGTCTGGCATCTGTCCGGCATCCGTCCGGCGTCCGTCCGGCGTCAACTTTTTACTTTAAACAACTTCTTCTCAGTAACCAAAAGGCCTAGGGTGATGATATGTGGCCAAAAGCATGCTTGGATGAAGGGCTACCAAGTTTGTTCAAATAAATGACCTTCATCAATTTTCAAGGTCACAGGGGTCAACTGTGTTAAAATCTTTAAACAACTTCTTCTGAATAACTAAGAGGCCTAGGATGATGATATTTGACCAGTAACATGCTTGGATGAAGGGCTTCCAAGTTTGTTCAAACAAATGACCTTGCCTTATATTCAAGGTCACAGGGGTCAAATATGTTAAAATCTTCTTTTAAACAACTTCTTCTGAATAACTAAGAGGCCTAGGATGATGATATTTGACCAGTAACATGCTTGGATGAAGGGCTTCCAAGTTTGTTCAAACAAATGACCTTGCCTTATATTCAAGGTCACAGGGGTCAAATATGTTAAAATCTTCTTTTAAACAACTTCTTCTGAATAACTAAGAGGCCTAGGATGATGATATTTGACCAGTAACATGCTTGGATGAAGGGCTTCCAAGTTTGTTCAAACAAATGACCTTGCCTTATATTCAAGGTCACAGGGGTCAAATATGTTTAAAACCATTAAACAAGTTTTCTGAATAACCGAGAGGCCTAGGGTGATGATATTTGGGCAGTAATATGCTGGGATGAAGGGCTACCAAGTTTGTTCAAACAAATGACCTTGACTTATATTCAAGGTCACAGAGGGCAAATATATTTTAAACATTTAAACAACTTCTTCTGAATAACCAATAGGCCTAGGGTGATAATATTTGGCTAGTAGCATGCTGGGATAAAGGACTATAAAGTTTGTTCAAATGAATGATCTTCATCTGTTTTCAAGGTCACAGGGTCAAATATGTTCTAAACCTTTAAACAACTTCTTCTGAATAACCAATAGGCCTAGGATAATGCCAGTAACATGCTGGGATGAAGGACTACCAAGTTTGTTCAAATGAATGACCTTGACATATATATTTTAAGGTCACAGCGGTCAAATATGTTTAAAACCATTGAATGACTTCTTCCTAATAAGCAAAAGGCCAAGGGTGATGATATTTGGCCATTAACATGCTGGGATGAAGGACTACCAAGTGAATGACCGTCACCCATATTCAAGGCCACAGTGGTCAATATATGTTTAAATCTTTAAATGATTTGTTCTGTATAACCAAAAGGTCCAGGATAATGATATTTTTCCAGAAGCATGCTGGGTTGGAAGACTATAAACTCTGTTCAACCTAATATTATAATGTCCTTGTTCGACATTCAAGGTCACAGGTGTCATATGTTTAAATCTTTTAATAGGTTCTAATGAATGAAACACTGATATTTTGCCTGTAGCTGAATTTAAGTCCACTTTTAAGATTACAAGTGTGAGATTAATACCAGGTGAGTGATGCAGGCCCATTGGGCCTCTTGTATTATTTCTATATTGTTTTTGTTATTTCTGTATTGTAAGCTCACCTGCCCGAAGGGCAAGTGAGCTTATGCCGTACCGCAGCGTCCGGCGTCAACTTTTCCCTTTAAAAGCCTTCATCTCCTGAACGACTGATTGGATTTTAATTAAATTTGATACGAAGCGTCCTTGGGACCAGGGGTTCAATATATTTATAAAATAAGGGTGTGGCCCCCTAGGGGGCTGAGTTAGGGGCCAAAAAGGGGAAAATTTAGAAAAGATTAAAAAATCTTCTTCTCCATTTCCAGAAATGCTAAAACCAAATACTACTCATAGTTGTAAAGGCCTTTGGATGGTTTATAAAAATGTTGATTTTCATGTCTCCTACCCTGCCCGGAGGGGGTGAAGTTTAGTATAGTTTATATAGGAAATAAACATAATAGGCCATATCTTCCACTGTTTTAAACAGATGTTGTTCATATTTGACAAAAATACTTGTTAGGGGGAGGGGGTTTGCAGGTAAAATTTGTATGAGCCTGACCCCCTAGGGGGCTGAGTTAGGGGCCAAGGGGGGGGATATAGGGAAATTTCAAAAATCTTCTTCTCCAGTTTTAGAAATGCTAGAATCAAATACTACTCATAGTTGTAAAGGCCTTTGGGTGGTTATAAAAAATGTGATTTTCATGTCTTCTAGCCCCCCCCCCATTTGTTCCTGGGGAGGGGGTGAAGTTTAGTATAGTTTATATAGGAAATAAATATAAAAGGCCATATCTACCGTTGTTTTGAACGGAAGTTGTTCATATTTGGCAGAAATACTTGTTAGGGGGAGGGGGTCTGCAGGTAAAAAAATATGAGCCTGACCCCCTATGGGACTGAGTTAGGGGCCGAAAAGGGGAGGAATTTAGGGAAATTTCAAAAATCTTCTTTTCTAGTTACAAAAATGCCAGGATCAAATACTACCCATAGCTGTAAAAGCGTTTGGGTGGTTTATAAAATTTGTGATTTTCATGTCTACCAGGCCCCCCGTTTGCCCATGGTGAGGGGTGAAATTTAGTATAGTTTATATAGGAAATATACATAATAGGCCATATCTTCCAATGTTTTGAACAGAGTTTGCTCATATTTGACAGAAATACTTGTTAGGGGAGGAAGGTCTGCTGGTATAGTTTTTGTGACCCTGACCCTCCAGGGGGCTGAGTAGCGGGGCCTTAAGTGGGCAATTTGGCTATATTGCTACAAACAACTTCTTCTGTAGAACTCTGCACTGGATATCAATCATATTTGATCAAAAGTATTCATGGGAGGCAGATATTCAAAATTGTACAAATGGTGTGGCTGACCCCCCAGGGGGCTGAGGGGCGGGCCAAAAAGGGTTATTTGGCTAGACTGCTTTAAGCAACTTCTTCTCTGGAACTAAGAGATGGATATCAACCATATTTGACTTGAAGCATCCCTAGGTGGTGGAGATTCAAAATTGTACAAATGGTGGGGCTGACCCCCCAGGGGGCTGAGGGGCTGGGCCAAAAGGGAGCAATTTGGCTATATTGCTATAAACGACTTCTTCTGTAGAACTATGCCATGGATATCGATCATATTTGGTCGGAAGCATTCATTGGAGGCAGGGATTCAAAATTGTACAAATGGTGGGGCTAACCCCCCGGCTAAGGGGTGGGGCCCAAAACAGTTTATTACTTGGAAATGGTTGAGATCACCACCGTATAACCATATATACATTGGCTGAGTATAAAGAGAAGAATGCACATTTACTTCCAGGATGGCCCTAGGGTCTGGCCCCTCCCTTGGAGACATAGTCCCTGGGTAATAACTTTGAAATGGTTGAGATCCCCACCCAAAAACTATATACACAATTGTTGAGCATAAAGAGACGAATGTAGTCATGATATTAGAATTGATCCTGGGGTCTGGCCACAACCCTAAGGACCTGGTTTCTGAGTCACTGCTTGGAAGCAATTGAAATCCCCACCCCATAACCATACATTAAATTGCTGGGCATGAAAAATCTAATACAGATATGCTACAAGGATTGGCCTTGGGGTCTGGCATATTCCCTTGGATCTCATTTAGAGAATATTTTGCCATATATCCAGGTGAGCGATACAGGCCCTCTGGGCCTCTTGTTTTTGTTATTGCTGTATTGTTTTTGTTAATTCTATATTGTTTTTGTTAATTCTATATTGTTTTTGTTATTTGTTTATGTGCAGTGGACTGCTATGACGGATATGATGATGGCCCCATCATTAAACATGGCTCCTTAAGTTTAACTTCAGCCATTTTGTTTCAAGATGTTATCAAGTGCATTAGTGAATGGGCGTTTTACACGTCAGAGTAAGTAATTAATTCTCACAGATTAATTAGAGGAAAAAGTTTTGTTTCCTATGTCAAAATTTATTAAATAAGGATAAGTATGTGTAGATTTTCACACATATATTCTGGGGTGTAATATGGTATACCCTGAGCTGTTAATATGTTAAACTTTCCTTGTCATTGCGTGAATGGGAATCAAACTTGTTTGTCACATGACTCTAAGTAATTGCTAATGATAGGTTTTGATTTGATAAAAAATGAAGATGGACACCTTTGATTTGATTGGTCGATGAAACATGTCATTATCACTTGACCAGGTATCCTGTTGTGCTGTCGTTAGAGAACCACTGTAGCCCTAAGTACCAGAAACAGATGGCTGAAATACTACTGCAAGTTCTGGGTGAAAAGCTCTATCATGAGGAGCCAGACAATCAGAGAAGGGTATTGCCCTCACCAAATGAGCTCAAGAAGAAAGTCCTTATCAAGGTGAGTCATTCTATAGCCTGTCATTGTCTCCCACACATGATTTTTCTCTCCTGCCTCATTGATTGTCTTCACTGTCCTCCTCTTTACAGTTAATTTGCACTCCTACCTATCTGATTGCCTCCACTTCCTGTATCCCCTTCTTCAAGGATTATCACCCTTACCTGTAGGTTTGTCTCCATTACCTGTAGGTTTATCACCCTTACCTGTAGGTTTGTCTCCCTTACCTGAAGGTTTTTCATCCTTTCCTGTAGGTTTATCACCCTTACCTGTAGGATTATCCCCCTTACCTGTAGGTTTATCACCCTTACCTGTATATTTGTCTCCCTTACCTGTAGGTTTTCACCCTCACCTGTAGGTTTTCACCCATACCTGTAGGTTTGTCTCCCTTACCTGTAGGTTTGTCACGCTTACCTGTAGGTTTGTATCCCTTACCGGTAGGTTTGTCTTCCTTACCTGTAGGTTTATCACCCTTACCTGTAGTATTATCACCCTTACCTGTAGGTTTATCACCCTTACCTGTAGTATTATCACCCTTACCTGTAGGTTTATCACCCTTACCTGTAGTATTATCACCCTTACCTGTAGGTTTATCACCCTTACCTGTATATTTGTCTCCCTTACCTGTAGGTTTTCACCCTCACCTGTAGGTTTTCACCCTTACCTGTAGGTTTGTCTCCCTTGCCTTTTAGGTTTGTCTCCCTTACCTGTAGGTTTATCCCCCTTACCTGTAGGTTTTTCTCCTTACCTGTAGGTTTGTCTCTCTTACCTGTAGGTTTATCTCCCTTACCTGTAGGTTTGTCTCCCTTACCTGAAGGTTTTTCATCCTTTCCTGTAGGTTTATCACCCTTACCTGTAGGATTATCTCCCTTACCTGTAGGTTTGTCACCCTTACCTGTAGGTTTGTCTCCCTTACCTGTAGGTTTATCTCCCTTACCTGTAGGTTTGTCTCCCTTACCTGTAGGTTTGTCACGCTTACCTGTAGGTTTGGATCCCTTACCGGTAGGTTTGTCTCCCTTACCTGTAGATTTATCACCCTTACCTGTAGGTTTTTCTCCTTACCTGTAGGTTTGTCTCTCTTACCTGTAGGTTTATCTCCCTTACCTGTAGGCTTATCACCCTTACCTGTAGGTTTATCACCCTTACCTGTAGTATTATCACCCTTACCTGTAGGTTTATCACCCTTACCTGTATATTTGTCTCCCTTACCTGTAGGTTTTCACCCTCACCTGTAGGTTTTCACCCTTACCTGTAGGTTTGTCTCCCTTGCCTTTTAGGTTTGTCTCCCTTACCTGTAGGTTTATCCCCCTTACCTGTAGGTTTGTCTCCTTTACCTGTAGGTTTGTCTCCCTTTATCTGTAGGTTTGTCTACCTTACCTGTATGTTTGTCTCCTTTATCTGCAGGTTTGTCTACCTTACCTGTAGGTTTGTCACGCTTACCTGTAGGTTTGGATCCCTTACCGGTAGGTTTGTCTCCCTTACCTGTAGGGTTATCACCCTTACCTGTAGGTTTTTCTCCTTACCTGTAGGTTTGTCTCTCTTACCTGTAGGTTTATCACCCTTACCTGTAGGTTTGTCTCCCTTACCTGTAGGTTTGTCTCCCTTACCTGTAGGTTTGTCACGCTTACCTGTAGGTTTGTATCCCTTACCGGTAGGTTTGTCTCCCTTACCTGTAGGTTTATCACCCTTACCTGTAGGTTTTTCTCCTTACCTGTAGGTTTGTCTCTCTTACCTGTAGGTTTATCACCCTTCCCTGTAGGTTTGTCTCCTTTACCTGGAGGTTTGTCTCCCTTACATGTAGGTTTGTCTCCCTTATCTGTAGGTTTTTTCTCCCTTTCCTGTAGGTTTTTGTCCCTTACCTGTAGGTTTCTCTCCCTTACCTGTGGGTTTGTCTCCCTTACCTGCAGGGTTATCACCCTGACCTGTAGGTTTGTCTCGCTTACCTGTAGGTTTGGCTCCCTTACCTGTAGGTCTGTCTCTCTTACCTGTAGGGTTATCACCCTCACCTGTAGGTTTTCACCCATGCCTGTAGGTTTGTCTCCTTTATCTGCAGGTTTGTCTCCCTTACATGTAGGTTTGTCTCTCTTAACTGTCGGGTTATCACCCTTACCTGTTGGTTTATCTCCCTTGCCTGTAGGTTTTCACCCATACCTGTAGGTTTGTCTTCCTTACCTGTAGGTTTGCCTCTCTTACCTGTAGGTTTTTATCCCTTACCTGTAGGTTTCTCTCCCTTACCTGTGGGTTTGTCTCCCTTACCTTTTAGCTGTAGGTTTGTCTCCCGTACCTGTTGGTTTGTCACGCTTACCTGTAGGTTTATTTCCCTTACCTGTAGGTTTATCAACCTTACCTGTAGGAGTGACTCCCTTACCTGTAGGTCTGTCTCTCTTACCTGTAGGGTTATCACCCTTACCTGTATATTTGTCTCCCTTCCCTGTAGGCTTATCACCCTTACCTGTTGGTTTATCTCCCTTGCCTGTAGGTTTATCACCCTGACCTGTAGGTTTGTCTCCTTTACCTGGAGGTTTGTCTCCCTTACTTACCTGTAGGTTTATCGCCCTTACCTGTAGGTTTCTCTCCCTTACCTGTGGGTTTGTCTCCTTTACCTGGAGGTTTGTCTCCCTTACTTACCTGTAGGTTTATTTCCCTTACCTGTAGGTTTGGATCCCTTACCGGTAGGTTTATCACCCTTCCCTGTAGGTTTATCTCCTTACCTGTAGGTTTATCTCCTTACCTGTAGGTTTATTACCCTTACCTGTAGGTTTCTCTCCCTTACCTGTGGGTTTGTCTCCTTTACCTGTAGGTTTGTCGCCCTTTCCTGTAGGATTAATTCTGCCTCTTGAATAATTATCTCCCTTGAATCTCTCTTACCTGTAGGGTTATCACCCTTACCTGTGGGTTTGTCTCCCTTACCTCTAGGTTTGTCTCCTTTATCTGCAGCTTTGTCTCCCTTACCTGCAGGGTTATCACCCTGACCTGTAGGTTTGTCTCTCTTAACTGTCGGGTTATCACCCTTACCTGTTGGTTTATCTCCCTTGCCTGTAGGTTTTCACCCTTACCTGTAGGATTAATTCTGCCTCTTGAATAATTATCTCTCCCTTACCTGTAGGCTTATCACCCTTTCCTGTAGGTTTGTCTCACTTACCTGTAGGTTTGTTTCCCTTACCGGTAGGTTTGTATCCCTTACCGGTAGGGTTGTCTCCCTTACCTGTATGTTTGTCTCCTTTCTCTGCAGGTTTGTGTCCCTTACCTGTAGGTTTTCACCCTTACCTGTAGGATTAATTCCGCCTCTTGAATAATTATCTCCCTTGAATCTCTCTTACCTGTAGGTTTATCACACTTACCTGTAGGTTTATTACCCTTACCTGTAGGGTTATCACCCTCACCTGTAGGTTTTCACCCTTACCTGTAGGGTTTTCACCCTTACCTGTAGGTTTATCTCCTTACCTGTAGGTTTATCGCCCTTACCTGTAGGTTTCTCTCCCTTACCTGTGGGTTTGTCTCCCTTACCCGTAGGTTTGTCTCCCTTATCTGTAGGTTTTTTCTCCCTTACCTGGAGGTTTGTCTCCCTTACCTGTAGGTTTATCACCCTTACCTGTAGGATTGTCTCCCTTACTTGTAGGTTTATCACCCTTACCTTTAGGTGTATCACCCTTACCTGTAGGTTTGTCTCCCTTACCTTTTAGGTTTGTCTCCCTTACCTGTAGGTTTATCACCCTTACCTGTAGGTTTGTCTCCCTTACCTGTAGATTTTTCACCTTTACCTGTAGGTTTATCACCCTCACCTGTAGGTTTGTTTCCCTTACCGGTAGGTTTATCACCCTTACCTGTAGGTTTGTCTCCCTTACCTGTAGGATTAATTCCGCCTCTTGAATAATTATCTCCCTTGAATGAATGTTGCCCCTGTCTGAATAATTGTCTCCACTGCCTGAATCATAGTGTTACATTGTAGAGGGATAGCCTACCCTTCCTTACTGATTGTCGTGACAGTCAGCCCTATCTTAGTCTCTTGTGTCTCAATGATTGTCTCCATTTTCAAGGATTGTCTCCTCGTCATTTACCTCTGTCCCTTCATCCTGTCCACACAATACATCAACTTAAGGGTGGCTTCTCTATAGTAGTAAATCTTTAGTTGATGATGGTTTGTAAATTAAATGTTTCATGTCTGTAGAATAAAAAGCTGGCCATGACTGCAAACAAGGATGTGGATGTGGTGTCTGATGAGGAGGAAGAAGAAACAGAGGGAGAAGAGAAGAAAAAGAAAAAGGTTTGTATCCTAGCTATTCATTCTGTAATAATATAGGCTGCATTATCAAAGAAATGTCAGCTTTTTAAGAGAAACTCATGTTGATCTGCCTTGTTATATTAAGAAAATAACACTGAAAGTTGACATAGCAGAGAACCTTTGTCAGGTAACATAACACTCAATCCTCTCTTGTTACTCACAATATTGATATATTATCAAAAATGGTGTGATTGTTACAGGACGAAGGCAGTCACACTCTCAAGTTAGCAAAGGAGTTGTCAGATCTTGTCATCTTCTTTGCATCCCGAGGTTTTAAAGACTTTGAATTGTCCATGCATCAGCGTAAGTATCTCAAGTTTCAGCGTAAGTATCTCAAGTTTTAGTGTAAGTATCTCAAGTTTCAGCGTAAGTATCTCAAGTTTCAGTGTAAGTATCTCAAGTTTCAGTGTAAGTATCTCAAGTTTCAGCATAAGTAGCTCAAGTTTCAGCATAAGTAGCTCAAGTTTCAGCATAAGTTTCTCAAGTTTCAGCATAAGTATCTCAAGTTTCAGCATAAGTATCTCAAGTTTCAGTGTAAGTATCTCAAGTTTCAGTGTAAGTAACTCAAGTTTCAGCATAAGTTTCTCAAGTTTCAGCGTAAGTTTCTCAAGTTTCAGCATAAGTATCTCAAGTTTCAGCGTAAGTATCTCAAGTTTCAGTGTAAGTATCTCAAGTTTCAGCGTAAGTAACTCAAATTTCAGCATAAGTTTCTCAAGTTTCAGCGTAAGTATCTCAAGTTTTAGCATAAGTATCTCAAGTTTCAGTGTAAGCATCTCAAGTTTCAGGGTAAGTATCTCAAGTTTCAGTGAAAGTATCTCAAGTTTCAGGGTAAGTATCTCAAGTTTCAGCGTAAGTAACTCAAGTTTCAGCATAAGTTTCTCAAGTTTCAGCGTATGTATCTCAAGCTTCAGCATAAGTATCTCAAGTTTCAGGGTAAGTATCTCAAGTTTCAGCGTAAGTATCTCAAGTTTCAGCATAAGTATCTCAAGTTTCAGTGTAAGTATCTCAAGTTTCAGGGTAAGTATCTCAAGTTTCAGTGTAAGTTTCTCAAGTTTCAGTGTAAGTATCTCAAGTTTTAGCATAAGTATCTCAAGTTTCAGTGTAAGTATCTCAAGTTTCAGCGCCCATTGCATGCTTTCCCTGTATAAGTAGCACTTTGATATACAAATAGAAATCATCGGAATCTTATTGACAAAGTAAGATAAAAATATTCTTGACATATATATGGTAAACAGAAATAAAATGAATCTTAATATTTTTGTAGGTTAAGTCTAAAGATAATTCTTGTGAACCGTAGAATGTCTAGCTCTAAATGTATGGTCAGTTTTATCGATAAAGTTTACATGATAGATACTACTGGACTTTATTGTGAGATTAAGTTGACAATGCTCGCTCTAGCAGGTCCTAAGTAACATGTAGCACTTATATATAATTATGTAAAAATTCAAGTAGATCACATTATTTACTAAAAAGAATGTAATTTCATCGAAACTAAAAATGTAGATATCAGTTGTGAGCATAATCAACCTTAAAACAGCTCAGACTGTACAGGGCACACAATAATACAAGTATAATTTCCTCTCCACAGAAAAGTACTATGAAATGTGTTCGTTTGGGGAGAGTAAAGCCACGATGTTGTGTCGCAACAGACCCGAGGAATTCATCAACTACAACAAAAGATTCATCTCCAGAATTTACCCGAAGGCTAACAGATTTAACTCGTCTAATTTTTCACCCTGCGAGTTTTGGAACTGTGGTTGTCAAATGGGTAAGATTGTTGTCTGTTAAGACTGTTTAACTCTAGCTAGAGTTGATGGGTAAGTTTGATGTCTGCTAAGACTGTTTAACTCTAGCTAGATTTGATGGGTAAGATTGATATCTGTTAAGACTGTCTAACTCTAGCTAGATTTGATGGGTAAGATTGATATCTGTTAAGACTGTTTAACTCTAGCTAGAGTTGATGGGTAAGATTGTTGTCTGTTAAGACTGTTTAACTCTAGCTAGAGTTGATGGGTAAGATTGTTGTCTGTTAAGACTGTTTAACTCTAGCTAGAGTTGATGGGTAAGTTTGATGTCTGTTAAGACTGTTTAACTCTAGCTAGAGTTGATGGGTAAGTTTGATGTCTGTTAAGACTGTTTAACTCTAGCTAGAGTTGATGGGTAAGTTTGATGTCTGTTAAGACTGTTTAACTCTAGCTAGAGTTGATGGGTAAGTTTGATGTCTGTTAAGACTGTTTAACTCTAGCTAGAGTTGATGGGTAAGTTTGATGTCTGTTAAGACTGTTTAACTCTAGCTAGAGTTGATGGGTAAGTTTGATGTCTGTTAAGACTGTTTAACTCTAGCTAGAGTTGATGGGTAAGTTTGATGTCTGTTAAGACTGTTTAACTCTAGCTAGAGTTGATGGGTAAGTTTGATGTCTGTTAAGACTGTTTAACTCTAGCTAGAGTTGATGGGTAAGTTTGATGTCTGTTAAGACTGTTTAACTCTAGCTAGAGTTGATGGGTAAGTTTGATGTCTGTTAAGACTGTTTAACTCTAGCTAGAGTTGATGGGTAAGTTTGATGTCTGTTAAGACTGTTTAACTCTAGCTAGAGTTGATGGGTAAGATTGATGTCTGTTAAGACTGTTTAACTCTAGCTAGAGTTGATGGGTAAGTTTGATGTCTGTTAAGACTGTTTAACTCTAGCTAGAGTTGATGGGTAAGTTTGATGTCTGTTAAGACTGTTTAACTCTAGCTAGAGTTGATGGGTAAGTTTGATGTCTGTTAAGACTGTTTAACTCTAGCTAGAGTTGGTGGGTAAGTTTGATGTCTGTTAAGACTGTTTAACTCTAGCTAGAGTTGATGGGTAAGATTGTTGTCTGTTAAGACTGTCTAACTCTAGCTAGAGTTGGTGGGTAAGTTTGATGTCTGTTAAGACTGTTTAACTCTAGCTAGAGTTGATGGGTAAGATTGTTGTCTGTTAAGACTGTCTAACTCTAGCTAGAGTTGATGGGTAAGTTTGATGTCTGTTAAGACTGTCTAACTCTAGCTAGAGTTGATGGGTAAGTTTGATATCTGGAGAAAGAGCTTAACGAGGACACACTTAACTTGTTTTTATTTATTAAACATATTATTTGAGAAGTCAAATTTTTCACCAAAACTCCAGGTATAGAAATACTGTACACTGTATATCGAGACTTGATAATACAACATTGTATAATGTGCTACATGTTTCTCCCGAATAGTTGCCCTGAACTACCAGACACCAGGCCTGCCTACAGAGCTGAACAAGGCATTTTTCATGAAGAATGGTCAGTGTGGCTACGTGCTCCAGCCAACGGTCATCCGTGATCCCTACTCCTTCTTCACACCTAAACCTAGTCTCTCCACCACCATCTCAAATACAGACGATGACCTGAACACTCAGGTGGACCTCCATATGAAGGTAGGTCAGGTACTTGGCGTGACCACCCTTAAGTTGCTAGAGGTCAAAGTTCAATATAACCCAGATATTGGATCATTTAACTATTTGGTATCATTTCATTGAAATTTAGTTTTAAATCCAAAAAAAACACCACATTATGCAGATATCAGTCGTTTTGATAAAGGAAAACAATTAACAATTTGTCAACTGTCATTTTTTCTTAGAATATCGTTTAAAAAAATGTATTTAAACATGTTGATTGACATATCAGTAGAGCAATAAGCATAAGTGTGTGATGTCTATTAGGATATCTAAGTGTATGAGCTATATGTCTGTGAACGAAACTTGATGTAAGACTACATCATATATGCTTTTGACATATCAAGAATATTTGAGTTAACCTCCCTTTATACTTACAGGTGGTGAGTGGGCAGAATTTGTCCCATTGTAAGGTGAGGATGGAAGGAACTAAGATTTATGTCTCTGTCAGAATAATTGGGATACCAGCTGATGAGGCGACATACCAGACTAAACAGACCCAGGGTGAAGGTCAGTATAACCTTGTCCTCCGGTAACTATCTGTGATATTCAGGGTCACGATCATCGTAGTCGGTGTTGTATTTCGCATTTTTTTTACATGGAAGGTTGCAACTTACTTAGATGAACATAGATTTGTATTTTTGTTACAGTATTGTTACAGTATTGTTACAGCACAACATGTGTGTCTAGTCACAGATAGTATATAACATTTATATTGTGTGTGCATTGATGCTTGGCAGCCATCTTGAATTTTGGCAGTTCAAGTATGTATATATACGTAATTGCTCAGATCTTTCCTTTATTTGTGCAGTTTCATCATTTGCAACTATGTTCGAGGAAGAAACCTTCGAACTTCAGATTAAGATGCCAGATTTGGCCCTGGTACGATTTGAAGCAAGGGCAAAGACCCTAATAGGAGAGGACAAACTGATGGGACAGTATACTATACCGTTTACCTGTATCAAAACAGGTAAGGACGCACTGTAGCACAATACCAGTGATGTAGCCTGGCCGTACTGGATGGAGAGGGAGATAGGGGGAGGATCATTCTAGATTTGAGTCCAGGGGATAGTAGCCCTTTGGTCAGGGCCTCAGGGTGAAGTCCTAGCATTAGGGGGCTGTATTTTTTAAGCAAGTAAATAATCTATCATCCTTGTTTTCCATGTATCTTTAAAGGCTTGATCAAACATCTGAAAAATGTGTCAAAAAGCTAGAAACTTATAGTTTACAGAACATTGATATATTAGGGTAAATGTGACCTTATAATATATATTTGACTTAATTACCAAAATGAAGACTAATTAAGTAATACAAATATTTTCCACCCAAATAATTGATGCCCTTATACCTTTTGTATAGGGTTAAGTCAATGACATCTGACAAACTTTATTTTATGGTTGTGTATAATTTATGAATCTATTTTTTGAAGTTTAATCAAATTCAAATCCATTTTGATCTAGTGTACCCTGATTTTATTAAATTCAACAAATTATGATCATTTTTAAAAGCAAACGTTTTTCAGATGTATGTTTGCTTTTAAAAATCATCCAAATTTAATTCTCATATTCTCTTCTTTAAAATAAGGTATGGCTCAAAATAATTTAGTAAGTTGAAAATTTGGACTTTTCACAAGAGCAGATCCTTAAAACAGCTAGGTAGTAAGCAACTTTTTACAGGGAGATAATTTGATTGTCTCCCTTTGTAATTGACTGCCTGCAGGATATCGCCATGTGTGTCTGCTGAGAGAGAATGGCCAGCCCATAGAAAAGTGTACCCTGTTTGTCCACACAACTCTGGCCAACAAAAATAATAACCAGGTAAGTAAGATTAAAAGAAATAGCAACCACCTGTTATACTTGGGAAAGGTTTTATGCTGATGATGAAAAATATAAGAGCATATTTGACTTTTGTACAATATTTATGTTACTTACACATTCTCAAATTTTCAGATTGAAATGTTTTTTCACTTCAGATTTCTGCCAACCACCATAAGTTTGTTTCCGGAAATAAGCCACTGAAAAATTATCCCAGTATGAAGTCTATAGGAGTGAAAACTATAGACGAAACATTTAAGGTAAATATTCTACCACAATCAGAAACAATTTACCAGCAATATAAACACCAAGCAATGTGCAACAATACCATTTTTAGTCTAGCACAATAAACAATACCATTACAAACACCAATCAGTGTTCTACCAATATCAAACAATATACCAAACATATACCACCATATTTATTCCTGAGTCACACTTGACCTAGATTGTATTCCTAAGTTGTACTTGACCTAAATTAGGAAGCACAGTAGTCAAGTGGTAGGACGCGGGGCTCGTGACCGAAGGGTTGCGGGTTCGAGTCACGTCAAGGCACTGTGTTGCATCTTTGAGCAAGATACTTTATTCCGCTTGTTCCAGTCTACTCAGCTGTTAATGAGTATGTGGTTGCGCAGTGCTAGAATTGGTAAATGCTAGCTGTGAGCGCCGAAATGGCAGCACCATCTGTTAGCTCCCCAGTGAGTTGAGAAAGATATTGGCTGTTTGCAAAGGCCCTATAACTACGGATAATAATTTGTGAACCGCTTTGAGATGACCTACAAACTAGGTTGTGATAATGCGGTATATAAGAACCTCAAGTTATAATTATATATATTCCTGAGTTGTACTTAACCTAGATTGTATTCCTGAGTTGTACTTAACCTAGATTGTATTCCTGGGTTGCACTTGACCCAGATTGTATTCCTGAGCTGCACTTGACCTAGATTGTATTCCAGAGTTGTACTTGACCTAGATTGTATTACTGAGTTGTACTTGACCTAGATTGTATTACTGAGTCATACTTGACCTAGATTGTATTCCTGTGTCAAACTTGACCTAAATTGTATTCCTGTGTTTCAACTTTATTTTCTGGAGTTGAGGCCCTTGAAACTTAAATTTCTGTTCCATAACATTTTTGTAATTTGGCACAGTGAAAGTACATTATATGTCCATGTGCATAAGGAAGAAGTTTGTGATTGGGGTATTGTACTTCCTGCAAAAAAAGTTTGAATATCACAATAAGATGAAGTAGGGGGTATATCTTTGCGCGCTCTTTCACAGTTTCTTTAGCTATTCCTGAATCACACTAAACATGGATTGTATATATATATCAACTCCTACTTGACATAGGTTGTATGTCTATTGTTGTGTGTGACAGATATCTATTCAGCCTCTTCGAGATGCTATGGACATGAGAGAAGATGTCCAGAACGACCTTCAGACCTTCAAGGAGAAGTGTGGTTTGTCTCCAATAGCCAACATCAAACAGTGTATCCGTTTCCTAGCAACCAGGGTATCTAACAACAGCCAACATGCATCTATCTACTTCCTGTCCACACAGGAGCGTGAGGTTAGTAGGGCTTGTTACTGTCAACAGTTTGGCCTTTACTTGTGGCAATCATCTGGTTCAGTCTGTTTGAGATTCTGTGTATCAAATTTATGAGAGAAATCTGTGTTTAGATAAAATCCTAAATATTGAAATATATATATTGCATAATTAGGGATTTGTTAGGTACTTTAATTATTTTGGATCCCCCCTCCCCCTTCCCCATTCTCCCAAACTAACACATGAAATCACAACTATGGCAAAGCCACTGACCTATCACATCTGCTCCAACAATGACGCTAATTAAGCTCTGCCTTCACCTGTTACATTAGCCCTGAAAATGGTGCTTATCTCTACGCCCTGACCTGTCACATTATCCCTGACAATGGTGCTTATCTCCGCCCTGACCTGTCACATTATCCCTGACAATGGTCCTTATCTCCGCCCTGACCTGTCACATTATCCCTGACAATGGTGCTTATCTCCGCCCTGACCTGTCACATTATCCCTGACAATGGT